GATTTGAACCTTAGCGTAGTGGTTACACTTCCCATTTAATAAGGGTGACTCGTAGTCTTGAAATGAACCCTATCTCAGACAGTGTAGCACACCAGATCTTTTCATTGAGTTGTGTTCTCTTCTTAGCCCGTGCGTTTATGGCCATGCACGTTATCCTAGTTTAGTGAACGCTCTAGCAACTTTGTGTCTCCAAAGTTCCATAGGGAGCGGCCCCACTCCCACATTCACATAGGTGAGTCTATCATGAGTACCCCAAAGTAAAGTACTCCACCCCACATAGGGTATAGATCTCATTAAGAGTTATTAACTCAACCTCCATTGCTTTGGGATTCATGCTTCACTATGCATGAACTTTTTGCATACTACTCATGTGAGTGACTTTCGTTTGATAGAGCGCGTTACTATATAAGATTCCCTTTTGAACCTCTCACAACAACTCGAGTTATTTGGATCAACTAGTCCTTGACATGATATCATAGTCTGGTTTATGATTTGTTAATTGGAGGGGCTCGGGGTGTTGCCGCAGTGTTTGTACGTGGGTTGTTTATTCTAGCAACGAGGTGGATACTTTATTGTTGGTCTCTGGGTAGGGGTGTACATGGGTCGGGTGGTCCGGGTTTAGGCATTTTAATCATCCGACCCATGCACTACGGTTTGGGAAATATTAAACCCAAACCCACCCAAAAAAATCTAAACCCTACAGTTTGTTTCTAATTGGGTTGGGTCGGGTTGGCGATATTTTTAAGTAAAAACCCAACCCAACACAAAATATGTAATTATTCTACATCATAAAAATATTTTATAACAAATTAAAAATTCAAACGAATAAACCGAGGTGAAAGGTATCAAAATTCACAAATATTGTTTGAATTTTAATAAAACTTGATTTACTTCAACTTATGTCTAGTTTTTTTCACGACATGTGTTGAAATAGGCTAAAAAGGTTACAAATGAACGCATCCATAATATGATATTCTTTTAAAATTGTACACAAGAAAAAAAAAATACGTGAATCATAGCTATATTAAATATATGTCTAAACTTTAAGTCGAAGAATGCATTAGATTAGTGAGACTTTAAGAGAAAAACATGGCAAAATATCTTAATTTTCTCATAAGTATGACTATATACGACATAAATGTTTTTTTGGATACGAACTCATACCAATAATTGGAACACGGGTTGGATCGGGTTCTACGGGTTTTGTAATCCAAAATCCAAACCCAACCCAAAAGAGGCGGGTTGTACAAAAGAAAACCCTCACCCAACCCAAAACCTTCGATTTAGCGATAAATACGGGTGGGTTGGGTCGGGTTGGACGGGTGGGTCGGTTTGCGGGTGTGTTTGTTCACCCCTATCTCTGGGTATGTGCATCACATCTAGGGGTCGTTTGGATGAAGAATTGTAACAGATCAATTTGACACAATTGTCTCATTTTGAGATAATTGTACCAAATTGCCTCGTTTGCCAGCAAAATTTTGGGATGGATAAATCTGTCGGACGTATTTTGAATTGATCTGTTTTGAGTCAATTTCAATTACCTGGAGTGGGGGCGGGCAATTCGAATTGACTCGTTTTAATTGCCTCGTTTATAAAATGAGACAATTGATCAAATTGACTCATTTTTTATTGATGTGATCCAATACCCCTGCTCCATAATGGTCAACACTCGAATTTGGCCAAATAATTAATTTTTTGTGATAATTTTTACCACGATATTAATTAGTAAAATAAATTGACTAGAATGTTAAAAAAGAGTGAAGTTTAGGCCAGATGCAAATATTAAGTCTTACTTATACGGTGGAAATATGGGGAAGAATTGTAATCCAGTCAAGTTCAATGTCACCAATGAGGTCCCTAGTGTACGTGGCATTGGGCCGGGTCGGGCCGTCCACGGGCTAGTACGGCACGACATGAGCACGGGCACGAAATATATGAGCCAGCCTGACACGAGTATGAATAATTTATGGGCCGTCTCGGGCCTAAATTTCAAAGGCACGGGCACGACACGGTATATAAGTGGGTCATATCGGGCCTAATGTTTACGAGACTTTATTGAGTATAAGAAGAGACATGACACGAAAATAATATTTATTTGATCAAAATAATATTTATTTGATCAAAATAAATATAGAAAGAACTATAGGTTTAAATATTACAAAATACAAGTGTCAATATACCTAATTGCTACCATAAGTAAAAACGGACGAAGAATTAAACAATGTCAAATCACACCCGCTATACTTCCAATTCCCCCTCCCCCCTTATTTGTTATTTTTCTCAAACATTTTCGGTTAATACTGTCTTTCTCCACCCAACTTTCTCCTTTTTCATTCTCTCTTTTATTTTTTTCATTTTCATTAAACACGAATACAGTCACATCACGAGCACGAACATGCACGTTACGATCCGAATCGTGCCCGGACCTAGCAAAGTTCTCAAATGAACTTGTAAGACACGACACATAAACTGACTAGCCGTGCCAAACACGACACAAATAAATGAGCCCGAAGCGTGCTCGTGTCATGCCGGTTAAGCACGGCCCACCGCCCATGTACAGTCACTAGTATAGCACCTGGCTTCGTCAATGGCCTCGAAAGTAGGGTCACGGACACTATTTGGTGCCTAATCTGCTCCCCAAGAAGCAACCTTGGCTATGGCTATGGTGTTATTTAATTTTTCTTCTTCTTGAAACATCATAAAAACTGAATTTCCCACATGATCAGCGATGCTCAACTAGGAGCCATTTAGTATTAGTAGTAATTGGTGGAGTACATTATATTGGAAGTTGATGGGAATATTATGGTTAGGACTTAGGAGATTGTGATTTTAGATTAGTAGGTAACTTGTACAATTATTATATTAGTGGGAGCGGTTGTCACCACATAGGTGAGGAGAAGGGATAATTTCAATGTTGTCAGAACCGAATCGGAGCATGACCCGTTAATACGAACGGTTCGCACTTTAGTGGTCCAACCGGAATTAGACCGTTTAAAAACCGTTTGAGAACCGGTACCTAATAAACGTTATAAGTATAAATAGTGGACATTTCTTAATCAGATCTCATCTCTTTCCTTCAAAATTGTGAAAGGGAAATAAGGATTCAGTTTGAGAGCCCGACGTTTTTGGTTTATTTCAATTTTCTATTTTCTGCAATTTTTTTAATTAAATTTAACGGCTGAATGGCAGAAACCGGACGAGCGGCTCGAACGGTTAACCGCCTCGGCCGTTCGCCAACCGCTACATAAAACCAGAGCGGCTTTTATACTGTTCCGAGCCAGTTTTGTGACCGGTTGGCGGTTTTACCGGTCGGGCCGAACAGTTCGGCTCGGCTTTAATAACATTGGATAATTTAGCCCTTTTCTATTTAAATTTTAAATTGTTGATATTGATGTTGGTGTTCTAACGATGATTCTCCAAACGGTTTTCTAAAAAAATTATGCAATTAACGTCAAATTAACAAAAACCGACATGAACCAGTAAGACACCTGTCTAAGTCAAAGAAAGGATTGAACCGATCTACCCTTGGTTCTGTAGTAGACACCGAATTCTCCTCTCCATTTCTCCAAATTTTGCTTATATGGTCATAATGATTTCATGTCATATTTTGCGTCTCGAGGATAAATTTCATTATCCACTTTTGTTATACAAGAAGGTGATTAGTGGCTAGAAAGTTTTTTTTTTTATGAAGGTGAACATGTATTAGCGATTAATGGCTAGAAAGTTCAAATGATGTATGATGTTTACCAGATACTCATGGAGCCCTTAGAACCACTCCTCAAAGACTAAAAAAGCACGATCAAGTCTCTCTTGCACTACTCGGATCGGATTCCTTTTATTTGTCCACATAAAACTTGGTCATGAAACAAAATTTCTTCTACAACCAAATCATCAATAGATTCACTAAAATTAGATGAATGAGCTTGACTCCAACCAAGGAACCCTCCTTCCACTTCTGATTGGAAAGGAAGGATGCAAAAAATAAACAATCAACAACAATAGTATGATCCAGGCATGTTACCCCAATTAACAGGCAGCTAGGTCCATCATGAACAAACAAAGACTACCCTTTGTCAGCCACCACACATATAAAAACAGGATGAGCGATATTGTCACCCAACATGGATACGAGCGAGGAAGGCCTATGTAGGAACTAGGAATTAGGTGCACCATTCCGAAATTTTCCCCCATAAGATATTGTCCGTTTTTTAAGGTAGATTCTCACGGATTTTATCTTGGAGTGTATGTCAAGATGTCTTCCCATAAGATCACTCATTCTTGCAGTGCTTTACAATGAGCACGTTTAACTTCATTTCACCCTAAAAGACTTATTTTCAGTTAAGATCGATTTTTTACTTACAAATCATGATTTTTTTTTTCATGCTTTGTCGACGGGAATTTTGTGAACAAGACAATCAATCAAAGGCTCGGTGGAGTCTATTAAAAACAATATCAAGGTTACAACGACACTGAAGCTTCAAAAGTAATAGGAGGACTACATAGATGGGGAACACATTGCCAATGTATTTGGTTAAGACGGAGATGAGATTCAGTATGGGAAGTAGGGATTTCTGGAGGTGGAATTTTTAATTTTGGAAAAATGGCTATAGTAGTCATTAATATCAAAGTTTTTGCTATATGAATGTATTGACAAATATGACGTGGTAGACAGGTGGCAAAGTTAAGAGAGAAAAGTGGCATGTCAGCATAAATCGTTAGTCCAGTCAGCATCACTAACGGTGTTATGATGGAATGACTATATTTTTCAAATGAAATTTCATTTTTGGATACCAAAGCGTATTTTTTCAAATCTAACTATAAATCGTCAAAATTGTGACTATACTGGTGTATTTTTTTTCAAAACCTAACTACCATGAGCCATATTTCATTTTAGCCTATAGGTGGTTTGGCTTTACAACCACTCTTTTGGTGGACCACACGCACACGATGATGTCTTGTACACCAAAAATGTAACTTTGAAACAAGTTTCCCTCTGTAACGTTTTGTCCTCTTCCAGCCCAGTGCAAGAGAAAATGGCGAGAAAACAAACACAGTGTTCCAGGTTAGCTTTTTTAAAACAAATATCTCTAGGGTCCCAGCTGCAGAGCAGTGTTCTGTGTGGACTGGCGCCGGACGATATTCGTTCTTATTTGTCTGAATCAAACTACTCGCCAGCAGTCGCTACTCTTTTCATGGTTGACCTCCTTTACTGGGTTTTCAGTATTTCAGCTTGGTAGCTCAGTAACCACCAGCAATCGCCATTCTTCTCCACGCCGTCCTAAGCTCTCTTACTGCCGGGTGAGCTCGTCAAATTTGGTTCCCTTCCCTTTTCCCTTCAGTCTTGTTGGGCTTCATGAGATAAATAGTATATCGTATGCCTGTTTTCGTGTACCTTGGAGTATGAATATGATTTTCATAGTCACAAAAGGCTTTTCTTCTTCTGCATGATTGTTAAACTGGGGGGTTTTGCGTTAGTCAAATTGCGCTTTCTTTGATTTGCTATGAAAAGGGTATCATTGACTTGAATCTCTAATTGGTTTCTGGTGTGTGGGTTGCCCGGAAGAAAGGGCAACTTTGTTGATCCGAGCTGTTAGGCGATTTGCCTTTTCAGGTTGATTCATATCCCTGATTAATCTTCCTGAAATCCCACTGGGAAGAGATGATTAGTGAAATTTGGTTAAATTTTGGTTCTGGGTATTTATGAGTTGACTGTGCCTCGGTCTGTCTTTGCAACAGAAATTGATTTCCTTAATCTGCATAGCTTCCTGGTTGATAGCCTAGGCAATCTTCTTTCTATGAAAGATGGTAGTGATGTTCAACCGTTAATGCAATCGGTTGCTATTAAAGGTGAAGATAAGACTTTTAAAGTGATAAAGGTTCAGGCTTTCTTATGCCTCTATTTGTTTTGCAGGTAGGTGATGACTCAGGGCGTACAGAAATCCTCTTCAAATGGCTTTGAGAAGCATTTGGCATCGGAAGAGCAATTGGAGAAGGTATTTGCTATAGTCTCATTATTGCACGGTTTGTACTGTCGATTCTCTAGTTGTTTAGTGTACATACCTCTCAACCCAGATTGGGAGGAAAGCATTGAGCTGAAGGGAAGTTTTCGCCATACAGATTAATGAAGTCAGGAGACTAGTGGGTACATTGTCAGAGAAGCTTTCCATTTACTGCTCGGATGCATCAATCTCCAGATATCTAAGGGCAAGAAATTGGAATGTCAAGAAGGCTACTAAAATGCTGAAAGATACTATAAAATGGAGAGCAGAGTACAAGCCAGAAGATATCCGCTGGGTGTGTATGCTATTTTTCTTCTGCACCAGACTTGATCAACTAGTTGGTCTGTCATTGGCATTGGATAAAGCTAGTTGGATGCTGTTTTGCAAAGATGTTTAATGTTTTTATTGTCAGATGGTGGTACGGTGCTTGCTGCCTGTGCATAGGTTCCCACAGGCTTAATAATTTGGTACCACAGTCCATAAGAACCAATATCTCCTTTTAATGTTTATAAGTCATGCATTAGGTTCTTCCCTAATGGCACAACATGAATAGCTTACCAAAACTTTTAAGTTGTCTTCCGAGAAAATTCTGACCTTTGTAGGTCCTTGGTTGTTGTGCTTACAATGTGCCATCTTGCTTTCTGATGGGATTATATGCATTATTGCCACCTTTATTTAGGATGAGATTGCTAAGGAGGCAGAGACAGGAAAAATCTACAGATCAAGCTGCACTGATAAGCATGGAAGGCCAGTTCTAGTCATGAGACCTAGTCGTCAGGTTCATTCTGATTATATCCTCACCTATTTTACTTATTATACTCGGCAGTTACCAATAGTCGGATGCTGACAGTTTTTGTATACATGTTGCACATGTTTTACTTGAGAGTATGTTGTGGAATGGTCTTGAAAAGTTTGCCAATGCATGGTAAATATCTTTAACCCACATAGTTTATGATCTAACAGACTAACACAGATGTGTTGGATAATCTTTTTCCCGCTCAAAAAATATATAATTGACGAATATATCTATTCATTAAGATCACAAGCATATCCATTATTTGATATTTGCAATGAAGTTGTTTGATGAGTCGGCAACCTGGAGCCAGAGAAATTCTCCAGATTCGGATGCTCCCATTTCATCCTTCGCGATTTTTCAGATTTAATAAATTGACAAGATCAATTTTGATGGCAGAACACAAAGTCAACCAAAGGGCAGATTAGGTACTTGGTGTATTGCATGGAGAATGCCATCATGAATTTACCGCCGGACCAGGAGCAGATGGTTTGGCTGATTGACTTTGATGGATACAATCTGTCACATCTCTCATTGAAGGTCACAAGAGAAACAGCCATTGTATTACAGAACCACTATCCAGAGCGCTTGGGTCTAGCAATACTATACAATCCTCCAAAGTTCTTCGAACCTTTCTGGATGGTAACCCCTTCAATTTCTTACTTGTCTTTCCACTACATTTTAAGATATCTTTACCATCAGTATGAATATATGAGAAATGATTGGATTTTGTTTGAATTGTTACGTTACTGGCATTATGGTTATACTCACATACATCAAAATCCTTTCAAGAGCATGGCTGTTTGCTTAAAGAGAATTTCATCTATAAACTTGTTACTCGTGTAAACTTCTTTTACATTTGGTACCTGAAAAGTTGAATCTCTGTCGTTTGCAGCTTCTAGATGCTATTGTATACTTCTTTCACTGGTACGCAATGTGTTAACTTGAACTTTTTTTGTAAATCTTTGTATCTACAGGCAGCAAAAGTCTTTCTAGAGCCTAAAACCCACAACAAAGTGAAGTTTGTCTACTCTGATGTTCCTGATAGCATGAAGATTATGGAGGCATATTTCGATGTGGACCATCTTGAGCCAGCATTTGGTGGGAAAGATTCAGAAGCAGGTTTTGACATTGGTAAATATGCTGAGAGAATGAAGGAAGATGACAAGATGATACCTTCCTTCTGGACGAAAGAAGGTTGTCCATCTTCAGCTTCAGAACCTGCCGCGGAATCTGGGGCATCTTTGGATACTCTCTCACTAGAAGCCACCACTGATGCTTCTAACCATGACATCGCACTCGATTCTCAGACGGTCTCCATAAATGACAACGACGATTGTAGTGTTACGAAAGTATTACCGGAAGATGTAGTAAATCAAAATGAAGTCTTAACTGCTGATAAAGAAGGGCATGCCTGATTATGTGGTAGCATGTCAATACCAGAAAGGCAAAAGGTACTCGGTTCCCGACCTACTGGCTCTTCATGGTTCTGATCAAGTTGCTGCACTTCATGGTTATGGAAGCTTTTCTGCTACGTGAGATGTTCTCGTCACTTCTCTTGTATCCCCGTTGAATATGTTGGTTAGCATTACCAGACCGTTGCCCTATTTTCTTGTTTTCTATTAAATCTCTTATATTTTCTTGTCATTTTACTTCTGATTTAATTCTAGTCCTATCTATTTGGCAAACAAGTCTTATAATTTGATGCGCATTTAATTACTCAAGGATAACATATTTGCTTTGTGGGCTGTTGTTACCACTAGCATCGCATAGGGTGCTAAATAAGTGTTGGCAACATATTAACATATTTATTAAATATATTATGATAATTACTCACTCATAGACCTTAGCAACTCGGACTCTCATTCCCCTTTTTGGTTTCATAGACAAATTATAGTTTGTTGAGTTCCTCATATGCTTTATAAACTTTTTGGTATGTTTGATAGTATTTGTGGTGCAGTAGTGTTTTTGGTATGTGTTTTGTGGTATGTTTTGTGATACTTGTAATAAGACGCAATTAATGAACAATACACGTTATGCTCTCCAATTTCTAATAATGACAAGTGTACCTCTTTCTTTATAAATTCACATTCATTATGTTCAATCCCTCGAAATAAAAATTTTATCAAAACAAAATGTTCTTATTGACTAGAATTTTTTTTTTTTTTGGAAAGAATTAGGATTAATAGGCATACAAGCCCCTCAACTATGCAAAGATAACAAACGAACCCATGGACTATTATTCTATCGAAAGAAGCCCCATGTACTATGTGTAGATAACAAATAAGCCCTTATGTTAACATTCTCGGTTAACTAGGACCCAAAATGTATAAATTATCCTCGGTTTTTTTTAACTCGCTTGCCTTCCATAGCCTCTTTCAAAATTTGATAATAACATTCGTATATAATGTCATATTGATGGTTGCCCCTATTTTTCACATCTAACTTCATGTCACACATAATATAAAATTGTGAAAGAGGCTAGCCCAATTGTGCTTGGTTCTTGTTTTCCGGCGAGGAAAAATTGGTGTTTGAACACAATGAATGCACCTTCGACTTCTTGAACAACAATAATTACACGGTTCACTCCTCTCCGAACAATGTTTGAACGAGGGTGTTTGATGGTTTTGATGGTTTTTTGGGAACAAGCTACGTTAATTACTCCTACTCCTATGGAGGTTCAGTGAGAGCTCTGAAAACTAAGGCTATGGCTAATTTGCAGAGAAAAGGATAAGTTTGACATTGTGCGTCAAATGTTTGGTTGTGGAACTCTTTCCCGTCTTCATTTCTCCTATTTATAGCCACTAGGAGTAACTGCCTTGGTAACTGCTAGCCGGCTTGTTGCTCCAACCGCCTTAGTGACCCCTTTTCGTTGCCTTGGTGGCCAATTGGTAACCATTGTCTTGATCTTCACCTCCTTGACCCGTCTTGTTGACTGGTTGGTACTTGATGCCCTCGACGCCCAACCGAATTGGTGTTGGTCTTGTCGCCTTGTCTTGACTGTATGAGGTTGAAGCCCTCAACCTTGCCTCCACGATGAAGTCTCGACCACACCCTTGGCAGCCCCCAAGACTCCGCACTTAGCTTTATTTCCTTTTCTTGCTCCCGCTTTTATTGTGTCTCTGGTTTGCCCCTTCCATCAAGCCAGTCATGTCGGCTCGTATTACCAAGCCAGCCTTGCCGGCTTGGTCTTCATACTTAGTTTTTGTAGCCTCGTTAAGTTGGTAAGTTGCACCCTGTCGGTTTGGTACCCCGTTAAGGTGCTACCAAGCCCGTCTTTGGAATTTGTCTCCATATGGCCCCCGACATCCTGGTCGATCCATCCATGGCTGTTTGGTACCTAGTTGGGTGGCCACCTCAGCTAATCACCATGCCTTAGTCAAATTTCTTATCTTGTTGGCTTGATACCCTAATGTCTGGCTATCAAGTCCGTTTTATTGGCTTGATACCCCCTTGGGGTCATGGTACCCCGTCGCCTTGCTTGGTTGCCTAGCCTGTCATGCCGGCTTGGTACCTTGTAAGGGTCTTGGTACCGAGGTTGCCTTGCCGGCCTGGTACCCCCTTAGCTCCATACTTAGACAAATTCCATGTCTTGGTACCAAGCCCGCCTTGCCGTCATGGTACCCTCTTGGCCCCATACTTAGCCAATTTTCATATCTTTTGGTATCAAGTCTGCATGTCGGCTTGATACCCCTTTTGCTTCATACTTAGCCAAATTCTATGTCAAAGTACCAAGCCCTGCTTTGCCGGCTTGATACCCCGTCGACCGTCGTTGATCCCGGTCGTTTGGCACCCCGTTGTGTTGTCTTGGAAACCCTTTTTGCTTCATACTTAGCCAAATTCTATGTCAAAGTACCAAGCCCTGCTTTGCCGGCTTGATACCCCGTCGTTGACCCCGGTCGTTTGCCACCCCGTTGTGTTGCCTTGTTTCCAAGACTTAGTTTTGGATAGCCTTATACCCTGGGCCCCCGTCGTGTCGCCTTGTTTCCATACTTAGTTTCTGGATGGCCTCCTATTTGGTATCCGGCTTGGTACCCGGTCATTTGGCACCCCGTCGTTTGCGTCGCCTTGTTTCCAAGACTTAGTTTTTTGGAGGCCAAATTTTCTACCAAGGGGTGAAGCACATCGTCCGGCTATGGGGCCAAGGAAACGGGTCGGCCATCGTGTAGGGAAGAAGAGGCTTGGCCACTTAGGCCCAAAAATCCAACCCAACTAGGCCCAGCTGGCTCTTTTAACTATTAATGTTGAGCTGGCCTTATAAATCCATTGAATTTCTTGTAGTTAATCGATGTGGTACAAGCTGATTTTTTATGGGTAAACAGTTCTGCACGTCACAGATTGTGTCTTTGATCCCCCACCTTCGTCATTTCGTGCATTTAACTATGGAGTAGCATCAAGGTTGTCAAACCGGTTTAAGTTATTGAGCGGGTCAAGTAAGGGGTTTGAGGTCTAATGGTTTGATCGGGGTCTGGCCGGTTTAAGCCGTTGTAGACGTTTTCTAAATATATATACAAATAAGGTAGTAATTAAAGATTTAATGACTGAAATAAAATTAAATAAAACTTACATGTATCTATTAAAAACTTATTTTCCAAAAAATAAGGGGTTGTTTGCTTATGGTATTTTCATGGTGGATTTTATCCCAAAGTCCAGTACACGATGGATTATCTTCATAATTCATATATGTTGATAAATATTGGACTTTGCTCAAATATGTGGGGGTCCACATGTGGGGATTTTTTTTATGCTGAAATCCATTGACCCCATGGATTATAAAATCTGTGACTTAATACGTGAGATTATTAAAGATAGGTAGAATCCATGATGTTGGATGACAATAATATTCTCGTCCATTTTACATAATTCACTTTTACCGTCCATTATTATCTCTGTTATGAGTGTCACATAATTATTATGGAGGATGAACTATGCATAGATTATTTATGACGTTATGAGTGTCACACAATCATTATTGAGGATGAACCATGCATAGATTATTTATGACATTGTGTCAACTTAACTTCCTATGAGAGGGTTAAAACATTCGGACAATATGGAGTATTTAAGAAGTTCCTAGCTGTTAGTTCAATCTCATTACCATAATAAACACATATAATGCTTAAGCAACTTAATCCTGCCCGGTTTACATTTTCATCATTTACTTTTGTATGTCGTCTATTCAGCTACTGTATCATGCTTGAGTTTAGATGGGTTTATTTTATTTTATTTGCAAGTTTAGATGATTAAACTTTGCTTCATCAATCATTCATTAAAGATATGAAGATAAATTCATCCACCAATACATAAAAAAATTTACTACCAACCTCCGGACCAACGCCACCTCCACAAGCCCAACTCCAGCTTCCGCGCCGACCGTTGGCGACTCTGCCGACATTGTCAAAGCCAATGGCGGCGTACCACGGCCAGTACCCCCCCCCCCCCCTCCGCCGCCGAGACAAAGAGCGTTCCAACAACCTCCAGAGCAACGCCACCGCCACCTCCACAAGTCCAACCACAGCCTCAACGTCGATTGTGGGCGATTCTTCCGACACCTCCAACGTCAACGTCGGCATACCACCGCATGTCCCCCTCCCCCTCTACGCCGCCAGGACAAAGAGCGTTCCAAAAACCTTCGGAGCAGCGCTACTATCACCTCCACAAGCCCAACCCCATCCCCAGCACCGATGGTGGGCGACTCTACCTACACCACCATCGCCAACGACAGCGCACCACCACAAGTTTCTACCCCTCTCCGTCGCCGTCTTGGAGCTCTCTATCTCCTCACTTCGATTCTAAATTTGAGTCCGTCACTGCTATTGGTCCGAAAAAGTTACAATGCAACCTATGCGATGATAAGTTTGAATATCTGAAGGGAATGGAATCTCACGTGCAGATGCTGCACATACAATCTAAGAAGAGATGTTGCACTTGCTACAGAGCCTATATGCTCACGTGGGAGTTAGACGAGCACTTTTGCGATACTTCTTGTTGAATGTCAATTGAAATTTTGTTCGGCGTTGAATGTAAATTGGGAGGTTAGGTAATGTACATGGGAATTTTGTTCCGGTAAATGGGGGATCTTAGTACATAATTTGTTTTCGGGAGCTTGGAAATATAGAAGCTCAACTTGTACACGAATACTGTAATAAAAAAGAATATCTGGTCATTTTACGTTTGCAAATAAATAAAAAAAGAGGTTATTTCCTACAAAAAGAGGTTATTTCCATCAAAGATTATTTATCAAGTTTAGTATAATTGTTGTAACTAATGGTTAATTTATTTATTAGCCCATAAACAATTACATACATATATATACTAGTCTCCAAAGCATATAAGAATAAATTTAACTAGTCATGCCCTTCATATAAAAATTAAAGATTTTTATAAAAAAAATAAAGATTCATATTTCAAAGACTAAAATTTTGAAAAACCAAAAAATTGAAAACAAAAAATTTGTTTCCTTCTTTCTTTTCACAAAAAAAAATACTACAATTTCCCTCCTTCTTTCTCCTTCCATAAATAAGAAACACTCAATTTTCCCTCCTCTTTCTCTTCCATAAAATTGAAAGAACCAAATTTTCATCTTCCTACACTAGCACAAGGCCCGTCCCGTTGGCCGGAAGAATTTTATCTAACAATATGGTATATAATAATGGATATAATAGATTATTTGAAATGCATAAAATGATTGTTTTCTACCTTTGCTATACACATAACATTTTAAAAATGATCTAACTATGCATAATGTATTTAGACTTTCATTAAAAGAGAAAAAAATATAAGCATTACATATAATTGTTGAATGAAAAAAGAAATAAATATAACTAATTTTCGTTCATTACTTAATTAAACCATATAGTTGGATATTACATAATCAACCTTTAGGATGAAAGAAAATGTCTCTCATAAAGTTTAGTTTGTCTTTAAGTTTTTCCCAATAGAGAGCATTCTTTTTTACCACACCGTTGCTAATGAATCTGAAGTTGTTTGATTTAAATATATAGGACATGATGTTAAGTTGTCGCTAATAGTTAGTTGGACAATGTGTTGTGTACGGACATCCCAAATTATTCTCAGATCGCAGACATGTCTAGCAACAACATAGTAATTTTCATGCAACAAATATTTTTTTCATAAAATAATTCAATAGATGAAAACCTATGAAAATCATATTACATTAAATATATGTTACTCATTAAGTTTATGAATGAGCGAGGGTATGAGTAGAATACATTTATTTTACAAAGATAGAAGTTGCATGGTGTTTTTTGGGTTGATTCACATATTCTCATTATAGCTAACTGATTTATGCTTTTTGCAATAGATAGTTCAAAATATGCCTTAAAACTTTTGTTTCTACCGGTGTAATAGAATTGTTTGAACCAAAGGATTGCAAAATAATATAGAATAAGTTGCTAGTAGAGTATTTTATACTAAAGTCATAATTTAACCGTGGTTCAACTGTTTCATATTCTTATATCACCTATCGATTTAGCCTATGGTGTGAAGTTTTATGGTCGAACCGCCAGTATGTACGATCTTTCAATTCAAACTTTAAATAATAAATGATAAAAAATTGACATTATCAAATATCCCTTAAATCTCATAAATTACAATTATCATATTAAGAAAAAATCATCCAACGGATAATATTGATTTAGGGTTTTAAATTGAAATGAAAAAATCTATCAAATACAATATCATCTCCTAAAATAAATCAAAACTCAACAGAAGAGGGCCAAGAATACAACTAAGCAGAAATCATAAGGGCAATTATTTCACACTACCTCATTTTCCCTCTTTTAAATGTGGCTTCTCACTCTCTCCTTGTCTTCATCTTTGCTTTTCCTCTTTCTTCCATCTCTTTCTCTGAGCTTTGTATCTCAACACTCTCCCCCTTTCACTTTCTCTTTCTTCCCACAGTCTGGAATCGAGATAAACCTAAAAACGTCACAATTACTTCTCTAATTTTGTATTCGAAATGATTCTTCTCCATTCACAGTCGATAGTGTGAATCAGAGCACCTGAAAGTTGGCGACTAGATGATCGCTTATTCTTTGATGGAGCAAAGTAGTTTGATAGCTTGTGAATAAACTAATTACTAAAAGTGATAAAAACAGAATTCGGTAAACCAATCAAGTGAGTGTATAGTTAGTTCATCACTTAAACCATTTTATTAATCTAAAGAATAAAAATGCATAATCAGATTCATCTTCACTTATTTACACGTATATATCGTACAAATTTATTACACATAAAAAAATGGTTTTGAACTAGTATATCAAACTAAATCTCATCTTATGATTATTGGATCCATATCAGATAAGAAAAACGTCTAAGGTTATTGATCAACTGGGCTGAAAATTAATACTAATTGAAGAATTATATATCGCTTCCAAATGTTCAATACTCCAATCCAATATGCAATATTCAAACAAATGATATATGAGTTACAACCCTTCCTCAAATTTTTTAGACCAAAAAAATCTCTCCCTCCCTCAAACACACGCACACATTTGCAAAGAAATACTAAGGGGTCGTTTGATTTTGGTGATAGTTAAATAGATGGATTGTCATCAATGCATGCATAATAATATACATGTATATATGAAAATTGGTGTATTATAGATTACATCGTTTGGTTTTTGTGATAGTTATTGTGTTATTTAAATAAGTTATATTACTTTTTGGGTGAAATGTCACTTTCACCATTTGGTTGTAATATACAAAAGCAAGACACATAAAAAGGCAGAGACATAGTTGGAAGAAAAAAACACACAACAATCTGAAAACTTGAGATTTAACTATCACTCATTTTGAGTGTTAACAAACGCGAAGTTAAGGAGTGTCTAATTTTGTGCCTCATTATTTTGATCGAGTCTATTAATATATGGATGTAACTCTAATTTTGTCATTTGCACTCAAGTTTTGATGGTCTCTTTTTAGTTGAGTTGTTAGCATATGATTTACTTGAATCAACAACTCTTCATTTATGTTTTTTTTTTATAAATCCATTTCTTTTTTATTAGTGGCATGTTATTCATAGAGGAGAGCTTTGAACCATTTATGTGGGATTGTGAGGTTTCATTTCAGTTTCAAACTATCTATGGATCGTGTGGGAATTCCAATGAGCTTTTATATTATATATTTTTGGACAATCTATTAACCAATATCATTTTAATGGGGGCTCAATTATCATTATGAAAATGGGATTAATGATACATTTTTATATTCTTAAATGAGGAGGGTATTTCCCTGAATGTTCGACCTATATATTCATTCTGTATGTAGCATCTCGATTGAATGATTTTCAATAAACTTAAACGAATTAATAGACTTAAACATAATATAAAAAATATTAATATTAAAATATGAGCATTCTGGCCAACGGGCCGGATTATAAGCTAGTTCTAAATAATTCCCTTCTAGTCCAACTTATTCCTCCTCCCAATTACGTCAAGATAAATTATTGTAGTTTGCTTTATGGATTAAAAATGAGGGTTTTATAATTTAAAAATCTAACGATTTGAGGCATTATGGATTTGAAATAATCATTTTCTTGTTGGGATTTAAGGGTTTGAGATTTAGAACTTAAAGTCCAAAATTACCTTACTGATCATTTTCTATTTGTTTGTCATATTTATGATGTGTACTCAAACAAAGACAATATATACTAAAAAAATAATGTCGTCACAAGTACAATAATAGCAAACAAGGAAATTCTAATTCTGTTTAAATTTAACTTTGCTTATATTAGTTACCAATTTCTCGTCTTCCATTTCAAAAGTAACACATAACAACATATATTAGAATCGGGAGAACAAAGAATTTCACGTTCTATGAAACAATCAAAGGAAACTACAACACAAAAAAGACATAGAAAATCTAGCTCATATTTGCACATTAATTAAATATTTATATTATTATTTTATTGTTAATTAATAGATTAATTATAATGTAAAATAGGTAAATGTGAGGTCAATCTTGGAATATTAAAATTTCATAAGGGCATATGGGTAAAATTCCATCATGTATTTGTGTTATGTACCAAATCCCACATCAAGTCTGTGGGGTCCACGGATTTGGACCCTTAAAATCCGTGGGCCCAACGAATTTGGTCCCTAAAAAAACTGTAGGATTAAATCCATGATGAATTCGATTTGGGTACCAAATCCATCATCCAAATCCACGAAGCAAACGAACCCTAAATCTACCTAACCTCTATAACCCATCCACCATCTCCCTTCCTTCGTTCCTCTTCCTCTCTTCCTCCTCCATTCTTCTCACTCTTTAGGGGTCAGATTGGGGGCTATTTAGAGGCCGTTTTGAAGTCAGAATTAGGTCGTCGGATCGGGTCCGACCGGGAGTCCGATAGGTGTTCAACAACCTTGAGTAGCATTGATCGGACCTGTATAGATTTGGCTTACCGATCTATGTGATTTGCCCACTATTGCGCAGGCTCGGTGGTATATAGTATATACCATATTATATTCCAAATCCAAACTCTTTGGCCAACTGTTGCAAGATCAAGAGAGGAAAGTGAGACTTGTCAACGCATTTGCAATTGTATTCCTGTCCAACAGAGAATCGTCGTTTTTTTTTGACGAGACAGACAACCACCACCCTCGCCCTCTCAACCTCGTTAATGGCTGCTTCCACCTCGTAATAATATATTTATATTTAATTTCCCTCTGTCTCCTTCTCCACCCTCGGTTGTTTTCCTAACATTTTCTGAAGCGCCAAATAACCCTTACCGTTCTCCATCTTCGTCCCCTCAGGCCCCGTTCAAATTGTGCCTCAGAAGCGGCCAGAAAATCCTAAAAGCCTTTCCAAGTCTGGTTTGTCCTTTCTCTGTCTTCCTTCCTGTCATCATTGATTCCCTTCTTCTTCTCCGTCGAAAATTTTCCATACCCTCGAGATAATCTAATTGTTATTTCCCATTGTCTCCCACGCTGCGCCTCGTTTTCTCCGCTTCCGCCCTCTATTTAACCAGGTCATTGTCGTACCAACCCACCTACCCATTTTCCTCTCCGCTGCTGTACAATTTACCCATTTCCCCTTTCTTCGAACTTAATTTTCCGTCAGCTGCATTCTTTCTTGCTCTCTCCGTTGCTGCCTTCTCGGTTCATAATAATCCTCTCTTCGCTCAATCAGGTGAGGGTTTTGTTCTGTTTCTCCCTTTTGCTTCCTGTACTTGGGACACAACGGAAAAATTGTGATAATAACAGCACTTTCTCTTTAGATTCTGATTGCAACTGCAACTGGGTTTTTTGTTTGTTTGTTTGCTATATGATTGCAACCGCATCGAATAGATCTCTATTCAACAATTGTCCCTAATTGTTTTTGCGCTATCTTATTTGGTCGCTGCTCCTTGAAATGCCCCTCCACCAACTTGCGAATGTTGCATTGATTTAGGTTTGCTTATAAATGCGTCTTCAGGATTACTCCTGATGATTCTTTTGACCCTCGTTTTCTATTTTGTTTTCGTGCTTATACGTTTGGTTGAGTAGGGTGGGTAATTGGGAATATGCCAAAATCTGGTCTTAGATGCTCTTTGAGTTGGGGCATGTTAGTGACAAATGCCGACTTCCTGTTTTTGTGCCCTTTGAAGCCATCAAAATGCCATAATAGGGGTTGCCCGCAAAGATTTGAATGACTCATAGAAGTTAACTTTGTTAGCTGCTATGTTCTTCCTTGCATTTCAGAATGGCTTGTTCTGCATTTCATCAAACTACTGGGACACTCCAATACCATCACCAGCTGCGGCAAGTCTCTAGTTCGGGGATCAATATCGAGTGTGGAAATGTGTCGATGAAATTTCCTCTCAAGGTGTCTAACCTCGAAATTGGGCTGTCAAGAAGGGGAGCCTACACAGGCAGTGAGAGAAGTTTAAGAGTAATTAAAGCTTCATCTTCTCAGACATCAGTTGTTGATCCTGTTTCTTCCCAATCGAATGAGGGCACTAATGATCTGCGAAAGAAATCAAGTGAGCTACTTCTTCCATGCACTTTGAATCTTCTATATGCTGACTAGCAATTTGGATTGTCTTAGTTCGTTTTCAGATGAAGGTTTCTCTTTGTAAATCTGCTGACACAGAATTTGGGCGATCTTGTTTTCAGGTGAAGCAGCTTTGATTCTGATTAGGCATGGTGAGTCATTATGGAACGAGAAGAACTTGTTCACTGGATGTGTTGATGTACCCTTAACGAAGAAAGGTGTTGAAGAGGCGATTGAAGCTGGGAAGAGAATCAGCAATATACCTGTCGACATGATATATACTTCTGCCTTGATCCGTGCACAGATGACTGCCATGCTTGCAATGACTCAGCATCGCCGGAAAAAGGTAATAAGTAATGACCACTCGTATCAAAAGGGTCAAATTTTACCTCCTTGATTGTGGTGTAAACATAGTTTCCTCACGATCGGCATGTGCATTTTGCAAGGGAATAATACAAGATTCAGACTTGGGTCTCTTTTAGCAACTCGACTCGTTTTATTGGGACAACCTGGTTCTCGACATATATTGATCTGAAACTTGGGCTAGAGCGATATTTGTGCCTTAATATTTTTGTATTCTTTTTAATGGAAACCTTAGTCTCCTTCTTGGTTGGCTATCTAAGAGGAAAGTGATTAACTATGTTTCAGGTTCCGATTATTATGCACAATGAGAATGAACAAGCAAGATCATGGAGTCAGGTTTTCAGTGATGACACAATGAAGCAATCCATCCCAGTTATAACTGCTTGGCAACTGAACGAAAGAATGTAATGATGCCTGAAGTGTTGTTATCTGATGATGGCCTAATGTTATTATACCTACTGACTGAAACATATCAACAAATTTATAAGCTGCTAAATTTCTGCAGGTACGGGGAATTACAGGGTCTCAATAAGCAAGAGACAGCAGAAAGATATGGGAACGACAAGGTTCATGAGTGGCGGCGAAGTTATGATATCCCACCACCTAACGGGGAGAGTTTGGAAATGTGTGCTGAAAGAGCTGTTGCTTACTTCAGAGATTATGTCAGTACTCGTAGCCATTCTTGGAATAGTCCTTTCCTATGGCCCTGTTCACATAAGTTCTTATTCCATGAATGTCACTAAATAGCATGTGGTAATTTGCAGATTGAACCTCAACTTCAATCTGGCAGGAATGTGATGATTGCTGCCCATGGGAACTCTTTGAGATCTATTATCATGTATCTTGATGAATTAACTTCCCAGGAGGTAAGACTTCAGTTAGGGCATTGGAGTATTGGCAGTTCCCACTTCTCTTTTTTCCTCCCTTAATGAACTCTTTCATTCTTTGCAGGTTGTTAGCCTGGAACTCTCGACAGGAATACCAATGCTGTACATATTCAAAGAGGGGAGGTTCGTTAGGAGGGGAAGCCCTGTGGCTCCATCTGAAGCTGGGGTATATGCTTATACTAGGGTATGTAGTTCCAGACATCAACCTTTACTATATTTCGTCCATATCCTTCATTTGTGTGTGTAAACTTGCATGTTTCTTACCACGTTCTATAATTCGTCACATGTGAAGCAGTGAATAAGTTGAGATGTATGCCAAAGCATGGAAATTTCTTAAGATACCACTTGCAGCTTAACTTATATGATAATCATATGATTGATTGATTTATCTTCGAAGCCTTCCAATTGTTGTTGGTATTGATTCTGTTACTGCTGCTTCATTGTTTGTCTGCAGACTTTAGCTCAGTACAGACAGAAACTAGATGACATGTTGAATTAGAATCTCATTGTAAGCTAAAATCTCATCTCAGCCAATGGAATCGTTTACCTTGTATCCTTTCCACTTGTATTTCTTCCTTTTCTTCATGCGATGCATGGTTTTTGGTTTTGCAGGCTTTCGATCTTGCAACGTAGTCCCGATACTTGTAATAGGAAAGAAAGTTTAGAAGGCTGGTATCCGTGCTTGTGAACCAAAGTTTGGCAAATTTGTGTAGTTCTACTAGTGTGTGGGATTCAATCAAGAGTTTCAGCTGTTTGTTTCAGGGTATTTTCCCTCTAAAGCATGGGTGTGTTGATGATATTTGGATCATGTAATGGTGAGAAATAAACAATACCCGTGGATTGCAAATTTCTCATGATGCTGTTGCCTAACTCCTCCTAAGTCCTAACTCAACTCCCAGAGAACATAGTTTAGAGTTTTCAGTCTCCACCGGTGGAAAGCTGGTAAATTTCGATTTGGGTGTCCGGACTGTTGAGAGATTTCTAAATTTTCTTAGCCCCACGAACAAGGGTTTGGTCTAGTGGTAATACCACTAGTCTAGAACCTGGAGGTCACAGTTTCGAATTCTTTAAGTAGTACTTTAATCACAAAAGAGAAATTCTTAGCTGTTGTCGGCGGAGTAGGTCGTCCGACAAACATTGACTTTCAACAAGATTATCTGGGGCATTGAAAGAGATGTCCGGTTCAGACCATCTCGTGCAAAACACTTCCTTTCAACAAGATTATCTGGGGCATTGAAAGAGATGGCCGGTTCAGACCATCTCGTGCAAAACACTTCCTCTGGCTTGTGCTCCATGAGAAGCTACTCACCAACAAAGAAAGGATGAAGAGGAACCTAACTACAAATGAAAATTGCAGCCATTGCACTTCATCTAGGAATTCACGGAGCACATCATTCGTCATTGCTAGAAGACAAAGGGAATCTGGAGCAAACTTCAGCACTTCGTGACGGAGAAAAGACAGGATATCTCCTTTAGGGGTGGGAAACGGGACAGAATTGGGTACCCGTCTCGTTTAAAATGGGTACCTAATCCCATTTGGAGACCAAAGTTCATCCCATATCTCAAATTCGTACGGGTAACGGGTACCCGTTAACCCGTACGGGACGGATAACGGGTACCCAAATTACCCATTTATACCCATTTAATATAGGACAGGAACAATTACAAAATCACCTGAAACATAATATTAAAATTACTCTTCAAACAAAATTTCCCCATAAACACGTAGCTATTATCACCTACTCCCCTTAATCCCTGCATGAAATGAATGCTACTGTCAACATGAAATGAATGCTACTGTACATTTAAAGAACAAAATGAAAATGAAAGAGAGAGCAACGAGTGAGGGAGAGGGCCTGGTCAAGTATAGGAAATAGGCCTGGGCAAGCGACTGGGCTCAGGTAGGAGGTGACTTGGGGTGGGAACTAATGGGTTTCAGATTTGGGCTAAATGCCTAAATGAAATTTAATAAATCCTAATGGGTAATACGGGTACCCAAACTACCCAAACGGGTATTAGCGGGTAACCCGCGGGTATCCAATGTTGAGATTCTTAATCCCAAATCCCATCCCGCAACAAATATAACGGGTATTTAGATACCCGTAACCCTCTAAAAACGGGACAGGTTTGGGTATACCCAAATACCCGTTTCCCGTTGTCCACCCCTAATCCCTTTTCAACCTTGGATGATCAACAACCTCAACAACGATGCTACATGGGTTGAATTTGGACCGATCTGCTGGTATTTATGGAAGCAGAGAAATGAGGAATGCATGGATGGAAAGAATTATTTAGAAGCCGCTCTCTTGCGCAGAATCGAGGCGTGGTTCAGTATTTTTAAGCAGTCTCAACTTAATGTTAACGAGTGTTTCGAACATGCTCCCAGACAGAGAGCAGAATGATGGATGATCATTTCACCCATCACATAAATCGTAAGAAATATAAACTAAAGACACGAGATTAGAGGTTTTTCTTATTCATTGACTGACTAAAACGTAGAAACAAAGTACATATTTATAAGGGAACCAGAAAACCTAAGCTCTGACGAATCCTATAAGGACTCGGTAACTTAATCCTAAAGAAACTATCTTAAACACTTTAATAATTAATACGATCCCTAAACAATAACTAAAATCAACTAACAAAATAATACCAATAATAATTATATTGGTCGCCGAGAACTTATAATGCATCACAGAAGTTCACCTTGCTTGGATGTCGCCGCTTGAGGGATGAGTACAAATTTAGTCAGACAGATTTGTCCTCTCTCCCTTAGGAAGTGCAGTGTCGGGCGGGCTGATCAGGGACTGTAATGGGAGATGCTCTGAAGCCATGTTTGCAATTTTGGGATCTGCTCGATTACTGCGACAGAACTGAAAGGGGCAGTTGAGGGTCTAAAGATTGCTTGGAACAAGGGGCATAAGAAAGTTCAACTACATATCGACTCAATGACTGCAATATCCATCATGAAGAATTGCAAGGAGGGCAACCATCAACATGGTTACCTTGCTCATCAAGTTCGTAAGCTTCTCAATAGAAACTAAAGAGTTAGTATCTCAAATGTTCACCGGGGTAAAATATGACATGCAAAACAAGAATGAATCACTCACTCTCGACCAGTGGGGTCGGGACCTTTTTGGTGCAAAAGATGTGCACAATCGTCAACACTCAACTCTATCGTCTCTCCACCACGGTGGCAACCTCTAAATGCTAGAGTTCACGGGACAATTGTCATCACTAGCTTGTCTGGAGGTCTTAGACACGGGTTCAAATGGCTGGCAATTGTCTTGGACATGGGGAAAAGGCTTTTTGGGTGGTGGGAAACATGGCATGAGGTCCTACATCTTCAACCTAAAACCCAAGGTTCTAAGGTCTCGACTAAGAACCTTTCCTACAAACAAAGGCCACTAGCACCGGCCAAAAATCACACATACCTTCTTCCAAACCACTACCAATCATGAACCACATTCAAGTACACAGCTTCGGGATATCTTGCTATCCACATTTCGAACCTAGTTGTGAAAGAGGTCATCAAACAATTTAGGTGTTTCAATGGCTTGAGTGCCAAGAAACCCTTTATAGAGTATACAATTAGTCTTTTGTGGGACGAATTCCAAAAATACACATGTTTTTAAAAAAAATTCTCAAAATACACACGTTATAAAATTTTTTCCCAAAATACACATGTTTGGGCATCACCGCTGTTGTCAATCGCAGTGAAAGCATTCACCGCGGCAGACCAAATCGGTGAATGCATCACCGCGGTTGAAGGCCGCGGTGAATGCCCGACTTAACTCTGAAATTTCAAACAAACGTAACTTTGCGCTCGGTTATTCGATTGTAGCGAAATTTTTTTTATTCCATATAACTTTTCAAGATCTTTCAATCTGCAACAAGACTTCATCTAAAAAAAAATGTCGTTTGTTACCCCCGAACGAGCAATTTTTCTATTTTGCCAAACTTTGGAAGGACATAACTTTTAGCTCCTCAATCCGAACGTCGTAAAGTTTTTTTTTGATTGCGCATAACTTTTTAAGAAATACAAATTTGACTAGGAAATAATTTTTTTTAAAAGAAGTATTTTTGGATATACGGGATTTTGGAAATATCTTTGCCTTTACTTTTCACAAATCCACATACTTTCCAAAATTATGGTTATAATAAAAGTTGTAGTAATTCAAAAGTTATGAAAAATCAAAAAAAAAATCATGACATTCGGATTGTGGAGCACAAAGTTATGATCTTCCAAAGTTTGTCAAAATCGAAAAATTGCTCGTTCGGGGTAGCAAATGATTTTTTTTTCGATGAAGTCTTATTTCAGATTGAAAGATATTGAAAAGTTATGTGGAATAATAAAAAATTCGCTACAATCGGATAACCGAGCGCAAAGTTACGTTTGTTTGAAGTTTCAGTGTTACGTTAGGCATTCACCGCGGTCCGCGGCCGTCAACCGCGGTTATGCATTCGCCGCTTTGGTCTGCCGCGATGAATGCATTCACTGCGGTTGACAACAGCGGTGATGCACAAACATGTGTATTTTGAGAAATTTTTTATAACGTATGTATTTTGGGATTTTTTTAAAAAAACATGTATATTTTGGGATTTTTCCACTTTTGTGGCCACTCTCTACTTTTATTTACCTCGTTTTACTACATCTTTTTCGTTTCTTTTCTTTCTTTTTGTTTTTTCTTTTTTTTCTCTTTTTTCCCCCGAGGGGGGTATAGAGAGCTAAACACATGCCACTTCTTTCATTTTCCGAACAATGCTCTCCATTTAAGAACTTTCCTCCTACACTACCTTCTCATTTGTTGCAAGAACCGTGCAAAACCACCTATGTAGAACCTCAATGGAGCTCAAAAGCAAGAACTCCGAGACAAAAAGATGACTCACACTTCGACACGAAGAAAGGATGGGTGGGGGTCGTTCTTTCAATCACCATTAAGCTCAACAAGCACGAAGTTCCTAGCATTAGAACGACCCCCAAAGTTACACGACTCAAAGGGGTTTACTAGGAGATAAAATATTTCGGGACAATCAACTTTTGGGCGTGGACTAATCCTATGCCTCCATCATACTCATTAGTGACAACGGTGAATGTTACACAATATGGCAAGAGGGATCTATCACACATGAAAAAGACGATCGACACAAAACTCACATGACTACCTGATATAAACCTATTCTCAACGGATTTCTATTATAATTACCATATTCATATTAGAGATAATTATTAGAATAATTATCATTACTTGGTTGCTAAGTTTAGGTTTATTGTTAGGTTTTCAGCTCTTTTCTATATAAGTGTACTTTGTTATTCGTTTAAGAATCAATAAGAAGAATACTAAGAAAACTCTCCAAAACCCTATTCTCCCAATCCTCTTAGTTCTCGTTCTCAATCCCTCTATAGGCCTAGGCAGATTCTCTATCTTTCTCTTCTCAAATCCCTAATTCTGTTCTGAATCCCTAAATCCCCAATTCCCGATAGAACCCTAATCCCAGGTTCTATCATTTGGTATCAGAGCCAACATGAGTCCTTCGAAACTCACTGATCCAGCATGGGCTCGTACGAGACAGCTGATCGAGTTCACGCTCTCTGAACTCAAGCGAGAGGCGCAGGACCACGGGTGGACAGCAGCAGCGGCGGAAGAGGCGGCCAATCCGCCAGCGGTGGTCGCCGATCCGTCGGGGCCGACGCGGCGCACGAGTGGGGCGGCGCTCGAACTGGCGGCGGAAGCGGGCGGCGAACGCGGCAGGAAGGTGGTGGCGACGCGCGGCACGGCAGGGCTGCCCGAGGCGCGGGCCTGGCAGGCGATGGTGGAGGCGCCGCTTGAGGCGCCACGGGGCGTGGCGACTACCGACGAGACTTGGGCGGTCGATCCGCCAACCACAAAAGAGACGCTCAGCAGCGTAGAGCAGAAGAAGGGAGCGGAGAAAAAGCTGTTGCCGCAGACAGGCGACGATTCCGCCATCACTGCGTCCTCTGGTTTGAAGTCCCTCACCAAAGAGCCGCCGCCCTCTACGGAAGTCATCACAACCATTCCAGTTCCACCCACCAAGAAGACGACCATGGATGTAGGAAGAACGCGATCACTCAGTGACTTCCATGACACCCTTCCATCGATTGTTGCCATGGATCCAAAAGACCAGACCGAGCGAGGACCGAATCAGCACTCGATCGGAGATGCTGTCATCCCCAGGCTGCGAGTCACCTCGCCGCCGTGGCCTCCACCGGGCGAATTCCTGTCAGCCTCGGAGCAAGAAGCTACTGAGAAGTTGACGGCGAGTCTAGTAGATGGAGAGACTGAGCGAGATGCTACGCCGCGATCCGCTATCTGCGTGCCGCCCATACTGCCAAGTCGAGGCAGCCATCATTTCTGGTAGTAACTCCGAAGGTTAGAGAAGATGACTTAACCACCAGGTCTGCAGTTCTAGTTCGAGTGCTTCCGGGTCAAATCGATACTTGGAAATGCAGGATGACGTGGGGATTAATCATAGGACAGTCCGTACAATCCGGGATTGATAAGCAAGCTGTCGGGTGCTCCAAACCGACCCGGGAACAAGGTTACGGTCCTGTAGAGATTCGTTTCGACGTCAAGAATACTACGGCCCTGAAGATGTCGAGATGGAAAGATGGAGTTAGCCAGTATCATAGGGGACCCGCAGTACCTAGCAGGTAGGAGTATCTTAATTGCTTCTCAATTTGTTTCGTTTATATATATAATTGGAACTTTGGGGATAAAGTAACAGAGGAAGAGGGTATGAATCGATTGGAACCAAGGGGGAATGAGCCACCAAAATTGTCTTTCTTGCCCTTAATTTGTGGGTTTGGCAACAAGTTAGGAAGGGAAATCCTTGTGAAGACTTTGCTTGATTGGTTATACGGAGACAATGGGCATTTGATTATTGGGTGGGCTTTGCCACGAACTCAAGTATGGGCTAATTCAGTTTTAGTGGACCTGAATTACTTGGGATGCATGTGTCACCCTCAATTTGTGAAGCTAGCCACGAGGTGGGATGAAGAAGTGATGTCGCCAGGAGAAGAGTTCTCCAAAAGAGCAATAGAGAAGCGGCTTGCACAGCAGCATAAAGCGGAAGGCCATGACTTACGGATATCGGGGAACGGAACAATATTACATTGGTCATTCGCCATAGCTACACCTGAGCCGCTCATCTCCGTGCCATGGGACGCGCAACTGGTGGGAGGGAACATCACTTGTTGGCAATTGTTGTTCTTTGGATGCACATGAAAAGGGGACCCTGCTTGCCTCGCACGAGTACCACTTGTGGGACTTTTTGAGCCCAAGTGCCTCGACTTCAGCTCGTGGCAGTTGAGTTTGGTAAGGGGGGCCGGTAACGAGACGTTTGAGGTGCTTTTGGATGGTCGTAGCGGAGATGGCGACGTGGGGCAGGAGGCTACGAACGGGGCGGACATTAAAAAGGCAAGATGGATGCAGGGAATGTGGAAATGGGAGGATGGAAGAGGTTGCATGCGTGGAGTGGAAGGGCGGTTGTATCCTTCATTGTGTGAGGAACAAGGTGCAAGAAGAAGTGTTCAATGGAAGCTCGGGCTCATATTTATCACAACAAGTGCGGCAGAGGTAACCATGGTTGCTACGAAGCCTTCAGTGGAGGATCTAGGATTCGTGGTTAATGATCGAGACCACTTCACGGGTCTTTACTTTGTGGAATTCACAAGGAAAGACTTGGACCATGCTGCTCATTATTTCGATGTCGGGAGTTACGGCATGGAAGAAATTTCGGTGAAGGGGGGAGCTACTTGTGCTACGCGTCGAGTCCGGACGTTTGATCGAAATTGGAAGAAGAGGAAGCGTAAGAAGTGGAGGAGACGACACCTGGCTGGGACGTGAAGGGTAGAGAAGTGGGACAAGTCGGTCAACCTTGAGGGCAAGGTTGGTCTCAAGGGGGAGGGGATGATAGAAACCTATTCTCAACGGGTTTCTATTATAATTACCATATTCATATTAGAGATAATTATTAGAATAATTATCATTACTTGGTTGCTAAGTTTAGGTTTATTGTTAGGTTTTCAGCTCTTTTCTATATAAGTGTACTTTGTTATTCGTTTAAGAATCAATAAGAAGAATACTAAGAAAACTCTCCAAAACCCTATTCTCCCAATCCTCTTAGTTCTCGTTCTCAATCCCTCTATAGGCCTAGGCCGATTCTCTATCTTTCTCTTCTCAAATCCCTAATTCTGTTCTGAATCCCTAAATCCCCAATTCCCGATAGAACCCTAATCCCAGGTTCTATCACTACCTAGCCGCCCAATCATCTATTCCAATTTCAAAAACTTCATTGCATGACAATTGTAATCAAGAAGTAACCAAGTCAGGACATCCATTCATTCAAGCACACATGAGAACTAAACTTTTGCACAACCCTAATGCACTCTCAGTCATCATAATAGGATGCACTCAATTAGATGTAACAACTCAAGATCGATGCCAAATAAACACGAGATTCACCCACCAACCGGCCATTTTGATCATGCATACCATCAGCTGTTGGGAGAGGCGAAGTTAGAGACCTATGATTCAGGAGGTTTGGAAATAAACTCGAGGGCGCAACATATGATTCAGGAGATCTGGAAACGAACTCAAGACCGCAACACCATCAGCTGTTGGGAGAGGCGAAGTTAGAGATCTATGATTCAGGAGATCTGGAAACAAACTCGAGGCCGCAACATATGATTAAGGAGATCTGGAAACAAACTCAAGGCCGCAACACCATCAACTGCTGGGAGAGGCGAAGATGGTGACGACATTGGCAAAATTGATAGTAGAACAGGTAGGGATGTCAATCCAACCTGTAATCATGGATATCCTACCCGACCCTAACCGGTCAACGAGGATAATTACCCGCTTTGACGGGTTAAGGGGCGGATACGGGTAATACCCTGTTTCAAAATAACGGGTAGGGTACGGGCACGATTATCACCCATACCCGCCCCGCTTGTACCCGCCTGTAATTATGTATGACTGTAAGCTAGCACCATTCATATAAATATTTCCAATTTCATTCCTCCAATTTCCATACCCCAAAATCTTTGTTGGCTTCGCTGCTTGTGTGTTGTGAATTGTTGCTTTAATGGACAATATGTACGTGTAATTGTTTCCCGTCACAATTTGTTGAGCTTCTTTCTGATGTTTTATATTCAGAATTGTTGGCTTTACAAATTGTGAGCACATACTATCAACATTGCCGGAAAAGTGCGAGATGAATTTTCATTAATATGTGTGTCTAGCTGTTAAAAGTGAACCAACAATTGTTATCGATGTGAAATTCATCAAGGCTTATGTTAATTAGGTGGATCTAATGATTAATGTACGTACATAAGTTCATATGGTAATATTATTTTACAATATAATTATTTACAGCTTGATGATAAATTCATATCCGTGATTAGGGTATTGTTATATCATTTCAATACTCGATGGTTATTTTATCGGGTATTTTAGCCGGCAATACTCGCGGGTTAGGATATGGTATAGGGTGTACCCGCACCCGACCCTACCCATTGACATCCCTAAGAGCATGTGAGGGCCACTACGCTAATTTCGACACTCGTCGTCGCACAAGAGAGGAGGAAAATTAATATATATTAAAGTCTGAAGAATTATTGACTAAATTATCCTCCATCTAATTATGACACTATAGAATTGTTTTCTATTTAATAACTATTAGCTTAGTTAGCATAGTGCTGACCTCAAAGAGGTTAGCAACTAATCACGTTCCAAAGAGAACAGCAAAATGTCATTAACATATAGTGGATGCGTAATTTTGTATACATAATTAATATGAACTTCAGGTGGCCAAGACACCGGCGGGATCCAGTCCATTCATAAGTGGATAACTAAATCAACAGACCATCAGTAGAACATGAGTCATCTTCAACAACAACAAAAAAAAAAACATCCTTTCGAGCAACGATATAACAAAATAGAAAATCAATGGAGGCAAGCGGCCATATTACTTCCCTCTAACACCACCACACCATCAGAGCCTCTAATTTTCACTGTCCTGATAAAGGCTAAGAAGCTGGGAACAACCAGCAACGGTTCCTTCCTTGGAGAAGCCCATGGCGTTCGCGTACCTTTCCCTGGACGCAATCCCGTTGTTCTCCGTCAAGATCACGCGAGCCTGATCCCGGCCCGAGGAAGTCTTGAAGCAGTCCAGCTGCGGGCTCCGAACAACTTTAGCATCGCACACTTGGTCCTGGTGGTCCTCGTCGACCTGGATCTGGTAGTTTCCTTCCGAGTTCGTCTTGCCTTCTCTCTGGTACACTACCTTGTTCGATTTCCTGTCCTTGCACACGATCCTCACCGTCGCACCTGCAAAAAAAAAATTTGAACGGGGGAAGAAATCAGACACCACACTCCCAAGTTCCTACTTACTTCCGACCAGATCTGGGGAAATACGAAGTAATAACTGGTCCTAGGAACGGATCGGGATTTTCCGGAAAGTAATAATGGGAATACCAGCAATGGAAGTGGATTTAGGGGTTTCGAAGCCGAAGTTGCAAGTGTCGCAGTAGACCTTGCCGCGGACGAGGAAAGGGTTGCGAGCAGGGCGAGTGGCGGCGACGAGAGCAGGGAGAACGCAGAGAGCAACGAACAGCAAGAATCTAGGAGCCATTCCTGCTGCTGCTGCTTGGTGGTTTGCGTTGTTTCAGTGGAGAGAAAAGGATGGGCGATGGGGGATGAAGTTGAGCAACGAAGGCGAGAGAAAGAGGGAGGACAGAGGGATGATAAGGTTTGAAAAAGGGGGAAAAGAAGAGAGAGCGGTGATTGCGCGTTGAGAGGAAGTGATGGGGTGTGCGGTGGTTAAATAATTGCGGGGGAGTTTGTTTCTTCCTCCGCCGTTGATTTCGATGGTTGTTGGTTGGCACTTGGCAGTGGTCAAACCATGGCGTGCTGACTGGTCACTGGTTCAACCAGGAATTGAAAACTATGGCCGAAATTGATGAATTTAATCAACTCACGCATTTTGATTAGAGGGTCTGGTAGGCTAGGATACCGAGCTAAGAGGATATCAATTTGATTGAGGACTTGGTATATAGCCCTTTAGGGGGGTCATGGAGACTAAATCTCTAGACGGGCTTGGTGGCCCTTAACGCGGTACCAAGCCGACAGGGTGCAAGATATCAATTTGATGAGATTCTAAAAGTTAAATATGGAGGCTTGACCGCAGGGGCTGACATGAATAACTTGGTAGCAAGGGGTATAGCAGGAGAGACAACAAAAGCAAGCAAGAACAAGACGATAGCAACAAAACTAAGTGTGCAGTCTTGGGGGCTGTCAAGGGTGCGGCTGAGACTTCATCATGGAGTTTCAACCCCATCCAGACCTGCTGCCGAGGCAATCAAGTACCAACTAGGCAATAAGACGAGGCAAGGGTACAAGGTGATGTGAGTCAACACCAAGGCGGCGACAAAGGATCCGCAAGTAAGTTGGAGCAGAAGACTCGTTATCACTTACCAAGATGGGGCTAGTGGTTACCAAGGCGGTTACCAAACATTTGACACCACATGGTGGCTATAAATAGGAGAAACGAAAGATTGTAAAGGGACCCACAACCAAACATTTGACAACGCAAGTCAAACTTTATCATTTCTCTGCAATATAGTCATAGTGGTAGTTTTTAGTTCTCGGAGCTCTTACTGAGCCTCCATAGGAGGAGAGTAACTTAACTTAGTTTTCTTAGCCATAAAAAAACATCAAACGCCCTCGCTCGAACATTGTTTGGAGAGGTGTGAACCGTGTTTAGAATCGTTATTCAAGAAGTCAAAGGCGCAAAGCATTAATATCAAACACCAAAATTTTCCTCGCCGGAAAACAATAGTCTAAATACATCATGTGAAATCTCAATTTTCAAACTACACATAAGCGATCATTCGAATGAACCAATTTGATGCAATTACATAGAAACGAAGTAATTCATTTCTTTTACGTCCTAAATTTTATCATAGTTTGTTACGTACATTTTATCTTCAAATTTAAAAAAAAAGGTATATTGTACGATATCATATCTTGGTCAAAATTTTGTTATGTCTTCGTTGTGAAATAATCAAATCAATTCTGAGAAAGGAGAAATTCCTCCATCTGAATCAAAACTAATGAACCAGATTATTTGTGGACCATACAATAATAAGAATATCGGTCGGAACCATGAACCGAAGAAATTTAGCCAATCGGAACCATTGGGGTGGGTTTGTATTTGTAAAGAAGACGTGGCGACAGATAGAATGGGAAGACAATTGCAAGAGGAGGAATATGAGTGGGCGTAGGGGAACAAACTTGCCCCGCGTCTCACTCTGCTGCTTTGTTATTTAATTAATGCAGCTAGCGGTGTCGGTCAGCATCACATGCAAATGATGCGAGCGAGAAAGAGAGAGAGGAACAATGGTGGGATTCATGGACTCGGACTCGCCTTTGGGTGGATTTTGATTGATTCCAGCCCATGTCTTCCTTCATTATTCGATTTACTGTCTTTTGCTTTTTCTCTTCCCCTGTTCTTCCGTTCTTCTCTCAGCCGGACGACATGTCATCGGTCGAACCGGGTTCAACTGGTATAGGTATGAAATCGGCATAAACATTATGGATATGATCAGTATAATTTACGATTTTTTAGAACATTTACATTAATGTAATTGTCAAACCACCTACGTATGGGGTTTTAATTGCCACCTCAATATATTTGCAACCCAACTCATATTAATATCATTACGCCTACTTAAATATTATTTTTTTTAAATTATGAAAAAATAAAGTAAGAGGAAAAAGAAAATAAAGAATCTCACTTTTTAAGGACAGTTTGGCTTTCATCTGCACTTGCATTTGTTGCAAGCTTGCAAATATACAACGTGTATCAACATTAGTGTAAGTGGTTTTGCAATTGCAAAAATCTATGTCATGTCATTTTGCAATTAGAAGTGCAATACCAATGTGCTCTAAGTAAAATGACGTCATTTTAGTAAATTTAATTAACTAAAAAATTACCATTTATTTTATTAGTTTAGAAGTTAAATGTTAATGTTATTTGTTGATTTTATATTTAAATATGAGTATTTTATTTTATTAGGAATGTCTCATTTGATTTAATATCAATATGAATTGTAAGTAAATTGTCTTAAAATATATTTTACATATGATTATATTTATTTATCGTTAATCAGTTTTAATATTTCTACATATTTTGTTAAACCGACATGAACCAACACATACTAGTTATATCACTGGCCCAACCATTCTACTTGTTAAACCGGCACAAAGGCATAAATATGTTTGACAACCTTGGTTCTTCCTCTTATTTAATAACAATCAACAAAATTTTATGAGTACCTCCATAGCCTTCCCGCGATCAAATTATTTGTAAAACAAAATTTATGAGATACCTTCATAGCCCTCCTGCAATGATATTATTATACAGGTTTCTTTTTTATTGGTATTATTTAATGAATTCGAATTTGCAAACTCCAAATTGAAGATTGGTCCAATAAATTCTGGAGGACATATTACATAAATCAAATGTGGATTAATCTTTTTAGAAAAGTAATTGTCTTACAAAACTAGTGGTGGGTCGGCTGAGTCTATACTCCATTTGGTCCACAAGTTGCCCCCAAAAGACTTCTTCCACGAACTAAGTTTTGGAATATCACAAACAAACACAACATAGCGTAAAAATGACGTTTAGTTGTAACAAACCTACCCCAAATGGTCCAAAAGTGAAGGTAAAAACATGTTCAAAAATCGTGTTATTGGGAACAACGGCGAAGCTGGGAGATATGGATGGCAATAATTTAGCTACATTTATCATAATATAGTTTGTTTTCTTGGTCTTATAATAAAATTAACGAATATTTCTAATGTTTTGCATATAAACTGCATACCCATTGGGTCGACCTACCCTGAACCGCGATCCACTAATAAATTGTCCGACCTGGACCCAACCTGCCACAGGACGGGTATGAGTGTCATGATACCCGCCCCGGACCTGCACCATTGGAGAGAGATGGAGGACTTAGGAACAGTATTGGCAACAATGGTTGCGTGCGGATTGGTTGAAGGGAGTTGACAAGAACACTAATTATTTCCATTGTAAGGCCACTGCGGGAAGGAAGAGGAATTCTATAAAAAAAAGGATAAATTACACGTTTGGTCACTCAAATTACATAAATCTTTCATGTTTGCCACCCAAATTACTTTTCTTTCACATTCGCCACTAACTTTACGATTCATTTCACCGTCAGTCATCGGCCGTTAGTCTCCGTTACCTCCGTCAGTTTTTTGATGACGTGGCAAACGGAACAGCTGACTAGACCGTCAAATAATGACATGTCAATTTAAAAAAAAAAAATTATCAGACAAAAATAAGGCCCCACCTATGACCTATCAATGGATTTCGAGTTGGAATCACGCAGACACATTCGGCGGCAGCGACCCTCTTGCCACCGCCACTCCTCCGATGCAACAGAACCAAGATGGAAGCTTCAACGCAACAACAAAAATGGCAAAGGCGGCGACTGAAATTCATCCACAAGGCTTCTTCTTCCCCCGACCAATAATAATACATTCCAAAATTTCTCAACCTCCCGGATCCACAGACCGCAATCCCCAATTTGATAGTCTCGACTCCTCATTCCCACACTACCGTTAACATCCTCCTCCAATTTTTCGCCTTCGATTTGAGATTTTTTGTAATTGAATTATAGTCTGGGCAATCATGGGGGAGGAAGTGAAGATGACCGACTACGAGACGAACGGAGGAGAAAACGACCACGAAGGTGGAGGCGAGTGGGACGATGACCTAACCCCCTTATCTCAGCATCTAATTTCGCCGGAGCTGGCACTTGCCTTCATATCTCGCCGGAGACGTGCCGGACACAGGTGGATGTCAATCGAGCTTCCAAGGCGACAATCTCAAATCTGTGCGGCAGCAGTGGAGGGGCGAGCGGCAGCGGTGGCTAGTTTAATACTCTGAAGCCTTTGGACGACGAGCGAGGATGACTGCCAGAGACCCGTTGGTGTTGGAAACGAAGGAGAACGGCGGGGCGGATGGCAACGCACCCGGATCCGAGTCCAGGAAGATGAGGAAGCTCGATTCGGAGGAGGCGGATTCGGTGTTAGACCAGAGAATTCCACTAACGATCCCTCGACGAGGATGTTGAAACGTCCCCGATTGGTGTGGACTCCGTAATTGCACAAGCGATTGGTGGACGTGGTGGCATATCTAGGTCTTTGTGGAGGAATTGCTTGCTATTCTGGGTTGTTGGATTCATAGGCCATTCTCCAAATTCTAGGTCAATAAACCAATCAATTGCGAAACCTTGACATCCTCGACATCGGAGTTCCCCACGACGTTCAGTGACCGCTCTTGCTCGGAGCTCTCATACGCCGCACTGGTGGGATGTCGCCGCTGGTGAGAACCACCGTATTGACCGCCGCCGCCATGGAAATCAGCAGGGAGCTAGGCCCTAATTTGGCTGCGAGAAGAACATTGAGACCCAGCGTGGGGAAGGCAAAGAAGACGAGGAGAAGGTGGGGCCTGCTTTTTTCTATTTTTTTTTTAAATTGACATGTCATTATTTAACGGTCCAGTCAGCTGTTTCGTTTGCCACATCATCAAAAAACTGACGGAGGTAACAGAGACTAACGGTCGATGACTAACGGTGAAACGAATCGTAAAGTTAGTGGCGAATGTGAAAGAAAAGTAATTTGGGTGGCAAACATGAAAGATTTATGTAATTTGAGTGACCAAACGTGTAATTTAGCCAAAAAAAAAAAACTCAAAGATGAGTTGGGTAGGTGGTTTGTGGGGTAAGAGGAGGTGACTACATGCATGGTGGCATACTTTAAGAGCTTATTCACGATATGAGAGGTCCCTATTAATACAATTGTCCTGGATTCGGTTGGGGCGAGAGTGAGTGAGGCCGAGAATGCAGAACTACTAACGCTATTTACGCGGGATTAAGTGTACTAGGCGCTAAACCATACTAGAAAGAGAAAGGCGCCGGGAGCAAACATATTCTCAACCTTTTCTTTCGAAAGTATTGGAACATCGTGGGGATGACGTAGTGGTCGGAGTGCTCCAAATCCTTGAAACAGGGATCATGCCGGAAGGTTGAACTATACTTTGATAGCCATGATTCCGAAGACGAAGCAACCAGAGTCACCAAAGGAGTATCGACCGATAAGTCTATGTAATGTTCTGTATAAACTTGTCTCAAAGGTTCTGGCGATCGAATAGACTGAAGCTGATCTTGAAGAGTGTTATTTCGTCTTGCTAGAGCGAGTTTGTACCAGGACGATATATAACTGATGATGTGATGGCGGTTTTTGAGTGCTTCCATTCCATGAACATGAAGCATAAGAGGGCAAGAAAACATGGCTTCTTTGTAGCAAAAATTGATATGGCGTAATCCTATGATCGAGTTAAGTGGCACTTCCTGAAAGAGATTTTAAGGAGGTTGGGGTTTGTAGAACGTTGGGTGGAGCTCACTATGATGTGTGTCTGAACAGTTTAGACTTTGTACTCGTGAATGGACACCGATCTCCAGTGTTTGTTCCAAGTAGAGAGCATGAAGCGGAAGAGGGCAAGAAAACATGGCTTCTTTGCAGCAAAAATCAATATGGCATAATCCTATGATCGAGTTAAGTGGCACTTCCTGAAAGAGATTTTAAGGAGGTTGGGGTTTGTAGAACGTTGGGTGGATCTCACTATGATGTGTGTCTGAACAGTTTCGACTCTGTACTCGTGAATGGACACCGATCTCCAGTGTTTGTTCCAAGTAGAGAGTATGAAGCGGAAGAGGGCAAGAAAACATGGCTTCTTTGCAGCAAAAATCGATATGGCATAATCCTATGATCGAGTTAAGTGGCACTTCCTAAAAGAGATTTTAAGGAGGTTGGGGTTTGTAGAATGTTGGGTGGAACTCACTATGATGTGTGTCTGAACAGTTTCGACTCTGTACTCGTGAATGGACACCGATCTCCAGTGTTTGTTCAAGGTAGAGAGCTACAGCATGGCAACCCGTTCTCACGGTATTTTCCCTGCTTTGTGCATAAGGATTGTCCTCCAATACCTCTAAAGCGGCTAGCAATAACCGTCTTCACATGATGCAGGGAGACCGAATGATTAACCATGTTTTTTCGCTGAGACTGCTTTTTTTTTTTTTTTTGCCAAGGCGACACAATAGGAGAGTGCGGAGCCGGAACTTAAACGCATCCTACTAGACTATGAGAGGGAGTCAGGACAAATGGTGAGCTTCAAAAAGTCTCAAGTTTCCTTTGTAGTGAACATGAAACATCTTCACAGGTTGTTGTCAGTTCGACTTCGGTAATGAAGACGGTAGAGAAGCGTAATAAATACTTGGGCCTGGAGACAAAGGTGGGTAGGTCCAAAAAAAAGCTATTTGCCGGGTTGAAGGAACGAATTAGGCAAAAACTGAAAGGGTGGAAGGAGAAGGTAATGAATGTAGCAGCAAGGGAGGTGTTCATAAAGTCGGTTTCTCAAGCACAATTGTACTTAGCTATGTCAGTGTTTAAAATCCCAGAGGGGATTATTGATGAAATCCACAACATCATCATTAACTTCTGGTGGGGACAAAAGAGGGACGTCGGGCGCACTGGATTCATCGGGAGGAGCTAGTGACTTTAAAGGAGGAAGGAGGAATAGACTTTTTGGATCTGAAAGGTTTTATTGAAGTCCTATTGGTGAAACAACTTTGGTCACTTTACCAACGATCAGACTCGTTAATAGCCAATCTCCTTAAAGTCAAGTAAAAGATCTTCGGTTCTGGATGCGATAGTGGGGAACAAACCAAGTTTTATATGGCGAAGCCTTATGGGAGCACATGATTTCATATGTCGAGGGCTACCTTAGTTTATTGGCGATGAGTCTCAGGTCCGGATTTGGGGTGACAGGTGGTTGCCGACGTCGCCAACCAGTTTTGTGGACTCAGCTCCGTGGGGGCTCCTAGCTGATGTATGGTTTGGGAGTTGATTGACCTAGAAACAGAACAGTGGGACGACCTACTAATCGAAAGTTGTTTCTCGACCTCTATCGCCCAAACCATTATGCAAATACCATTGGGAGGTGATGGGGAGAGGGATAGGCTGATTTGTAATAGCAATAGATCAGGGCTGCGTAAGGTTGTGGACGAGGTATTGAGATGTGAGGTATGAACGATTGCTTGGATTGGGTAGCGAAGGTTGTGGACGGAGTTGCAAAAGAAGTTTTGAAGGGCTGGTCGATGCTCTTGTGGATCTTGTGGAAGGAGCGAAATGCCTAGTTCTTTAACGGGAAGAAGATGGCTGAGGGAGAGCTCGTCCCTCGAGCAAACCTCTTGTTGTTGGAGCACCAACAACATCAAGAATAGAGCATCAATCAACAACAGGTGGTTGCCGACGTCGCCAACCAGTTTTGTGGACTCAGCTCCGTTTATAGCGGCCGCGACAAAGAACATGCGTGGAAATTATGACCTAGAGATGGCAGAGGCTCTAAAAGGGGTTGTTTGTTTAAATTTTTTTGTAGATGAGTCATTTTTAAGTGAATCATTTGTATAAATTTACCATTTTGCTCTTACTTTTAAATAATATGTTTCATTATCTTGTTTCCTGTTCTAATAAAACCAACCACGTTAACAAAATTAATTTGAAATCAACAAAACATATATTTGGGTGTTTGTCATGTATAATACTACTTTCTAATTTTAAATAATAAATCTATTTTAACTTTCTTTATAAATTGTAACGCCTACATCACTCTCGAATTTTAAGCTAATGATAAATGATGGTGTTTGTGACGAAAAAGATACATCGCTACGTAGATGACCCTCTTTGTTGCTTGTGTAATTTGGGAGAAAGAAACAAATAATCCGAGAGAAGACGAAGCAATGACATAGAAAACAAATAATCGAAAGAGAATGATAGAAGTGAGTTTACATAAAATAAGTAAGAACATATTTGAAACATTTGGACTAAATAATGAGTTATTTGGAAATGACTCAATAGAGGCATTTGAGACTTTCGTATGGACGAAATGACTCATGCATTTTTTCTTTAACAAACGAGTTATTTGACATCAATTGAATCATTTGATACCAAATGACTCGTACAAATGACTCAAGGTCTCAAGCAAACGACCCCTTAACAATCGAGTTTGGAGTACAACTAGCTGTTTAGCTTCAAGTCCAACATCTGATTTTGGAAGTGGATTGTCTAACTAGGGGTGGGCATTGGGTGGGTCGGGTGGATTTTGACCATAAAATGCACCCACCCACGCTTAAACGGATTGATAATTTTTAACCCACCACCCACCCACATTTAGTCTCGGGTTGGGTCGGGCGAATGGTGGATGATTTGGGTGGGTTTGTGGGTTCACCCACATCACAATGTATATAATATAAAGGAGTCAACTTGACATGATAATAGGGGAAGAGAGTTATCTGGGGAAACAAGAAGATGAAATAGGGCGAAAAATGTCGAATTAGTTCTTAAAATGGATAGAAATTCTATTATGAAAGAGTTTTCTACAGATTGAGATGATTATCAGGTGCAAGGAACTAAGAAAAATAATTCCACAAAGGAAAGAGCAGTGATCTAGGCACAAGAACTAGAGGAAAGAATAAAGGGAAGAAGAGGGGATCGCTATTTGGAAGGTTGGCTTTGAGGTTCAAATTTCAGGAGCATTCTTAGTTTATGTCTAACGTCTCCACTCTCTCCTCTCTAGCGCTGACGACTTTGAACTTTTTACTGTTGGGTTGTGCGGGTCACCCGCGCACCCACCCACAACCCGGCGGATGGCTCCCAGTGCAACCCGTCATCCATCCATAGACCCACCCACTTAACGAAATTCGGATCAAATGCAGATGGGTCGGCCCAAACCCGCGGATGATCCGCCCGCATGCCCAGCCCTATGTCTAACTTTAGTAAACAAGTTATAGGATGCACTGAGGATTCATACTGAAATAGGCACCATCTGCAGTAATTTCAAACCATATCTAGCCCAAGGAGAAGGGACTAGCGAGAGTTTCTAACTTTCTATCATGTGAAATGGGGTGGAGTGGAAATAACGCGACACATAGAACCCGAACGAATAGCAGAGAGCTAGGTTTAGTTAGATAGACCACCAATGTTTCTAGTTAATTATATGATGTAAATATGTAACAGCTTTGCCTAATTAATATATCCTTCAAAGGTTTTGACAAAACAAAAAAAAAAATTTGGATTGTATCTTTTCTGCTGGTAGAGCTGATTTTGGGGCATTCATTCCGTAATTTTACAGAAACACAACAGTTCAATGTCATTAACATATAGTGGAAGCGTAATCGTGTATATATATACTAATATTAATATGAACTTCAGGTGGCTAATACACCATAACAGACGGGATCCAGTCCATTTCATAAGAGAATAATTAAATCAACAGACCATCAGTACTCGAACATCGAGTCAATTTCACCAACAACAACAAAAAAAAAACATCCTTTCGAGCAACAAAATAGAAGAACTCACACCCCCAACAAATATAATATGATAAAACTCGACGGAGGCAAAAGCGGCCATGCTTACTTACTTCCCTCTAATCATCATTGTCCTGGTAAAGGCTAAGAAGCTGGGAACAACCCGCAACGGTTCCTTCCTTGGAGAAGCCCATGGCGTTCGCGTACCTTTCCCTGGACGCAATCCCGTTGTTCTCCGTCAAGATCACGCGAGCTTGATCCCGGCCCGAGGAAGTCTTGAAGCAGTCGAGCTGCGGGCTCCGAACAACTTTAGCATCGCACACTTGGTCCTGGTGGTCCTCGTCGACCTGGATCTGGTAGTTTCCTTCCGAGTTCGTCTTGCCTTCTCTCTGGTACACTACCTTGTTCGATTTCCTGTCCTTGCACACGATCCTCACCGTCGCACCTGCAAAAAAAAATTTGAACGTGGAAGAAATCAGACACCACACTCCCAAGTTCCTACTTACTTCCGACCAGATCTGGGGAAATGTGAAGTTGCTGTGCTAATTCTCAGATCCAGACGTGGTGGTGGGAAGGAGGGGAGATGGGAGTACCGGCGATGGAAGTGGATTTAGGGGTCTCGAAGCCGAAGTTGCAAGTGTCGCAGTAGACCTTGCCCCGGACGAGGAAAGGGTTGCGAGCAGGGCGAGTGGCGGCGACGAGAGCTGGGAGGACGCAGAGAGCAACGAACAGCAAGAATCGAGGAGCCATTGCTGCTGCTGCTGCTGCTGCTTTGGCGGTTTGGGGTTGTTTCGGTGGAGAGAAAAGGATTGGGGGAAGAACAATAACGAAGGCGAGAGAAAGAGGGAGGACAGGGATGATAAGGTTGAAAAGGGGGAAAGTATTTCGAGTTATAAATTCGAGTGGGGAAAAGAGAGAGAGAGCGGTGATTGCGCGTTGAGGGAAAGTGTTGGGGTGCGGGTGGTTAAATAATTGCGGGGGAGTTTGTTTCTTCCTCCGCCGTTGATTTCGATGGTGGTTGGTTGGCACTGGGTGGGTGGGCTCGATGGTGGTCAAACCATGCGGTGGTCGGTCATTGGTTAACCATGAATTGGAAATTAAGGGGTGGTTTGGAAGTTGCGATAGTTTTGTTGAGATTGTTATTATGCATGTATTGTTTATAATGCATCGTTTTTTTATTTTTTTAGCAGAAACAATACATGGATTGTTTCTGTGATGTGACAGAAACTATCACTCTTTTTGAGTGATTGTTATATCTCAACTTTTAGTTGTGATTGTTGAGATAGTTGAGTTGAGATTGTTTTGTCTAAACTTTTAGCTGATGCGACATACACAATCACACATACCAAACGTTGTATTGTACAATGCATCAAATTCGACAATACATGTATAATATTATACATGCATTCTCAACAATACATCTATTTAATAATCGCAACTTCCAAATGATCCCTAATTTTTTCTCTCTTTTTCCCACAAATTTCTTTGCTTTTCTAAAAGCCCGGCCTGACAATTAAGGTTGTCAAATTGGTTTATATCATGCGCCTTTTTGATAAGTGGATACGATCGACCAATTGAGTCGATTCATATAGGTTAACAAAATATGTACACATGTGAAAATCATTAACATCAAATAAATTTAATCATATATAAAACATATTTGAAAACAGCTAATTTACAATTCTTATTAATATTTAAATAAAATAATTTTTTTAAAAATTAATAATGCATACTCCTATTTAAATATAATATTTAATGTCAATAGGTAAACGTTTATACTTGAATACAACATAAAATTTGAATATTTAACTTTTAAATTCATAAAATAAATAATAAATAAAGTTTGTTATTAATTAAAGTCGCTAAAAGAACGTCATTTTTCTTAGATATCTCGATCATACATGACATGCCGATAGTGTTCATACCAATTTCATGACCGACACCGATTGAACCAAATTCAAATAACCGACATTCCATCGGCGTGATAACCATGATGAAAACTAAGTGGTCCATTGGCTGAGAGAATTGAATTAAGAAATTTGGCATAATGGTCTAAAAGTGAAGTAATTCATTTCTTTAAGTCCTCAATTTTAACACCATTTTTTACAATTAATGAACAATTTTATATTCAAATTTCAAAGTGTTTCTAATGTTTAGTAGCTAATCCACGATATCATATCTTGCTTGAATTCAACAAAATTTTGTTATATTAGGTAATCAAATCCAGCCTCGAAGAGCTCATAAAAGTAAGAGATACTATCAGCATCGTCGTCTCAAGATCCGTGAATTACTTGATAGTGGAAGGTGATTCCGAGGTGGTCGTCAACCTGATCCGATAAGGTATCCTAGAAGTCTCCTTTGGAGGACCGGTGCTCCGGGAGTGTCGTCAAATCCTAGACTCTTTGTCAGTTTGTTTAGAGTTTAGGGCGGTTCCTAGAGCTGCCAACAATGTTGCTCATAGAGTGACGCTTAAAGCATTACTCTTGTCTCTCTTAGAGTTATAGTCTTTCGACTTTTTTGGGTGACTTCACTAGTGTGTCGCTTGTAGGGGGATGCTGGGTAGTTTAGTTTATTAATTTATTTAACTCTTGTCTTCTCTTGATATCATTCGAAAATAAAAATCAAATCTAGTCTGGAAAAGGAAAAGGAAAATATTGATAGTCAAATTAGGTGTTAATGCTCAAAACGAAATTTCCCTATTAATGAACGAAATGATTTGTGGTCGTTCATTATGCGAACCGATATCGGCCCGAACCATGAACCGGGGATTTTCAGGCATCCTAGCCATTGGGTTTTTAACCTTTTTTAGGAAAGACGTGGCGACAGATAGAATGGGGAGGAGAGAGCAAGAGGAGGAATAAGGGTGGGGAGTGGCGTAGGGAAACAAACTGCCTCCAGCATCTCACTGCTGGTTTCTTGATTTAATTAATGGGTTCCAGCTGGTGGTGTCGGTGAGCATCACATGCAAATGAGAAGAGTGAGAAGGAGAGGGACAAAGACAATGGTGGGATTCATGGACTCGAACTCGCTTTGGCTGGATTGATTGATTCCAGCCCATGTCTTCCTTCATTATTCTATTTCCTGTCTTTCTCTTTTCCTCTTCCTCTCTGGTTTAATAACAATCAAGGTTGTCCACCTGCGATCGACTCACTTTGATCCTAACCCGGTGAGAAAAACAGGCCGTACGTTCCCGTCAGGTCGACCGCTACAAAGTACCGCGTTGGAGGTCAAATTGTGTCATTTTTTTCTTTGATTTGCGAAATGCACCTATTTTCCGATTTTTCTTTTCGTCTAACTCAATCTTTGAAATCCTAAGTTAAACATTTAAATATTGATGTTATATAAGTGCCTGTGGTTATCTCGGTTTTAGTTAGCATAACCCAGGGTTAAATGAGGATTTTTTCCAAAATCCAACTCTTAGGTATGGTAATAAAATCAGTAGAGAAGCTTTCCTCTGGATTTCTTGTAGTTTGTTGGTGATGAAAAGAAAAGGCAAAGGTAGTTTGGAGTCAGGTGGCCCTACCAAAGGAGGAGGGGGCTAGGTTTGAAGGATTTGAAGTCATGAAATCTGGCATGTATAATCAGGCATATTTGGGCAAGTTTGAGTGACAAACAATCTCTGTGGAATGCCTAGCTAAAGGAATACCGATTAAGAAATCTATCTTTTTGGTAGGTTAACAACCAATGATCATGGGCGTGGAACAAAATATTGAAAGCTAGGTGTTGGGGGTATCACAAGGCCCGTTAGGGACATGGGCTCCCAGACAAAGGACTGGGGGGCAAGGCCCAAGAAGGGGCCCTGGAAAAGGCCTCATGGACCAAATAAGTGGAAGGGCGCATGAAGACAAAGCGCTAAAGGCCAAAGGAATCCAGGCTGGCTGGTGGTCCATTACCTGGAGGCGCCTGTCATGTGTCAGGAACCTGACAAGGTGGTTGGGGTGTCTGACAAGGGGAGTACGAAGCATTAAATGAGCGCAGTGACGTGGAGGAGATCAACCTCAGGTTTGGTGAGTATAAATAGAGGCAGTCGGTAGCATTTATACAGGTTGGACTCTCTCACCTAAACTTCTACATAAGAGCACTCTTCTCTCTAAAAGAACTAACTTGGGCGTCGGAGGATTAACGGGCCTAGGCGCCCTCCTCTCTGTGTGTGGTGTGTAGGCAGGCGTCGGGAGGTAGGAGGATCCCAGCAACACGTGGTGGGTATCGTGGCACAAACAATTAGCGCGCCAGGAAGGGGAATATAACCAGAAATCATGAGCGAGGAGGCAGCGTTAAATGAGGAGATTGACGGAGAGGAAGTTACGGAGGACCAGTCGGAGCGATTAAGGGGGCTGGCGCCCGAAATGGAAGAGGGAGGGGAGAGCGACGACATGTTTCGGGGATCAGAAGGCGCCTCGATTTCGAAGAGAGAACTATTCAGGATCATCGAAGACCAAGATGGAGCAATCGAGGCGCTTCGGAGAGAGGTCCACGCCCTGAAGAGGAGTGGAGGGATGACGCCCAGCCCAACGAAGAAAAGGGAGAGGGTGGCGGAGACGGAAAGTGAGTCGGGATACCAGAGGCGCCCCAGCTCGTGGCGCCCGCGAGAGTACGACGGGCCGGAAACAGGAGGATGGAATGGGGGAGTTTTGGGGCGTCTGTCTCGTCATGAACCTGTGAGACAACCTCTAGCGCGTGGCATACTAACGGAGCCAGCGGGAACCAACATTCCCCCACTCCCCACCTACGATGGGACCACTGATCCGGAGGACCACCTCAACGGTTACTTTACCAAGATGCAGCTCTACAACAGCACGGACGCCACACTGTGTATTCCCGTCAACTTTCGCGGGCGTGGTCCTCGATTGGTATTATCAGATTGAAGAAGGGCGCATTGAGTGCTTCGAGCAGTTTGCGGAGATGTTTCTCGCGAAGTTCGCTTGCAGGAAACGTTGCACCCTGACCATAGGCGCCCTGTTCAAGATCAAGCAAAGAGATGGAGAGGCGTTGAGGGAGTTCTATGAAAGGTGGTTGTCTGTGGCCTTGGCAGTGAAGGATGCGCAGCCGTCAGTGTTAGGGGTATGTCTCAATGAATGCACCACCAGCGAGGAGTTGTGCAGATCACTGGCGAAAAGAGATGTGGTGTGCACTGAAGATCTGGATCGCAGAGTGCAGAAGGTAATCATGCTCGAAGAAACTTTGGCGGCCAGAAGAGCTGACAGGCGAAAGGCGAAGGGAGAAGAGGCGGAGACGACGAGGAGACCGCACTTTGCGAGCGGGTCAGGCTATGCGCCCACGAACACCCTTCCTCCCAGGAGAATGGACGCCGGACGCCCGGCGCCCAAGGGGCCCTTTGCCGAGTATAATGATACGCTGAAAAACGTGCTCCAACATGTCAAAGAAAAGGGGTATCATATTAGGTGGCCGGGCCCCATGAGAGGACAGCCCAACGAGCGAAACCTAGATCGATATTGCGACTTCCACCGAGAAGTAGGGCACTATACAGCTGACTGTTATCAACTGAAAACTGAGTTGCAAGGCTTGGCCGACAGGGGGATGCTCAATGACTTCGTCAAGAAGCCTGATGAAAGAATACACAGGGCCTGCGTGGCCGGTGCGGAAAGAGAAAGAGAGGGGCTACCACCCCCGCCATACGAGCTCGATCAGGAGAACGCGCCCGGACGGGTGCGCCTGACCATAGAGGCGATATCGGGGACGATGGACTTGAGGGAGAAAATAGAGGCAAATCGCCGCGTGAGGGCAGCCTCGGCGGAGGTTCAGGAGGCGATAGACATCAGCTTCAATAGGGCGCCAGAGGAAGCTTGCATGATCCCGTCCATGGACGCCCTGGAACTTCAAGGAGTGGTGGCGGGGTGCCGAGTCCGGAGAATGCTTGTGGATACGGGAAGTTCGATGGATGTGTTGTTCAAGGACACGGTGGCCCGC